AAAACATACCTTTATTTAATGAAAGATTCGTCCATCTACGGGTCGGTGGCCCTGAGCTGAGAGGGAACGGGTTGTGACAAAAGGGTGAATGACCATGTGGAAATTTGGATCGGCCCCTGGTGTAGCGTATACCAGGTAATCCAGGGTTTCCTTTGTGTGCTGCACCTGTCCCTTGGGGCGGGTCCTGCAAAAGGAACGGCTCAGCAGTCCGTCCGAAGAGAGGAAGGGAAATTTCATTTATTCAGTCTAACCTCCGAAAGGAATCAGGATAGGAATGCAACGATGGAATGCCAAACTGATTACTTAAATTTTGATGTCGCGCGCGGTGCAAGCCCAACGATTTTTCTGCGTTGCAGTCCGGCAGCTTTCGCTCCTGTTTGGTTATAGAACACTTTATTAAATAACGCTGTACTTGAAGCATATTGTCGCAAAGCTTTGCTCGCGCGAGTATTTACTCTAGCTTCACTTTATGTTTTTGCCTTCTCCGAGATTTCGTTCCGTCTACACGGGACGGCTCATGGATTCCACCGCAGTCGGGGGGCCCCGAATGGGGACGAACGTGAACGCTGTAACGCTACACCTAGTTTATAGAACCCCGTGTTGGAAACGTTTTGTCTTGTGTATGTTTGCGTTTGGGATCTCTACTTCGGAGGTGGTTTTGCTTTGCGTATGTATAACTTCTGTGCCTACGAATGTGCTTTCTGTTGTTTATGGCTGCCCTTGTGAGCTTCGTTTGGAATGTGTTCTGTCTCGTATATGCGCTTGTTTTTGGAATGTTCGTATTTGCTTTAGGTTCCGAGCCTTTGATTGGCTCTAAGAAAACCCCTCTTGATTGGTCCTTCCCAATCTTTCTTATTGGTGAACTGGAGGACCCCAGAATGCTGGTAAACTGAATATAAGCGGCCACCGAGGGGCTGTAAAGGACTTGGCCCCCGGATACCAAGACTTGGACATCTCCCTGCCTCTGGAGGCCAACCTGCACGTCCGACCCCCTTCGGCTGTGGAGTCTTCCGCCCGCTAACTCGCAAACTTGGGACCCCTTACGGCTGTGGAGGAGTTCGGCTCGCCCGCCTTTGTGTGGATCCTTGTTTGTCGAGTTCGGCTGCGGTCGGGGCACCCGCTGAAAGTGCGGTCTAGGAGGACGGCAGGGGAAGTCGCCAGAGGTTAGGATTATTCCCCCAACATTTATTGACGAATTGGCCATACCTGTTGTAAAAGATTTTATATCCTATCTCTTAAATAAAAAGTTGTATTTGTTAATATCAGCATCTTTAATCAACGGAGAAAAGAAGAGGGCGACCTATTTTCTTCGTGACAATATAACAACCTTGGAAATAGGCAGTAACTATCGAGAAAAACGTGCTTGGCAAATCAGAAGTTCCGACGCAAGCGTCGAAACGTGTTCCGCAAATCTTAAAAAACAAAAATGGGGCCGTTCAGAATGTTCCTGAATTCTCCGCTTCAGTCCGATTCGTTTCCCCGAGTCGTCCTAGGATACGTAGTTTTTATTGAACGCATATAGCAAGTATGGAGTGCCTCACACTGCGATACCAGATAGTGGGGCCCCTTGCCCTTAGCCGCGGCACCTGATAACTCGAGTCATATCATTTTGAGGGTCGGTATGTGGGCCTTATTGAAGGGGGTGTCGGGCGCGACTTTTTCCCGTTTGAAGGAGTCGACGTAATGAACCTTCACTGTGTGCAATGAGGCCGCGCGGGTAATATTTATTTACGGCCTCGCTCCGGCAGGGACACGACAAGGGCTAGTGACGGCTAATGCATGATAATAGACGCTCAAAATCACTCTCCCAAACGTCATGGTAGGCTGGGCTTGCGGCGCTTTTTTTCACCGCAATTTGTTCAGTTGTAACCGAAAAAAAAAAGAAAAAAAAGTGAAGATTGACCGTTATGAAAAAAACAAAAAAAAAAACATTCCTCTTCCCATTTAAAAAAAAATGGTCTGGCCTCTAATTGTAATTGCCGTCAATACTGCAATCCCAACATGACCGCTAAAACCAATAATTAGAAAGGTTAATTAACATATTTCACTTAATTAGCCGACTTGAGACGTTTTGTGTGCTGTCCCCTTCTTCGTCCGTCGTCTCCGGTTTTCAAAAATGTGGGACTAACCCATGACGATTCTCCTCTCATCTAATGTCGGCTGAGCCCGATAAATACATAGTGAATACGGCACTCGTCTAACTCCCTTCTTAAAAGTAATATATTCTAATTTAATCGAAACACCCCGTATATTTTGTAAACGAAGGGAAATATTTGTTGTTTAATTACCTTTACAGGTTAGGGAAAGGGGAGGGAGATACGTATGATGGGGGTGTATTCATCATCTTACATGGCCTTAAAAGAGGATACGAGCGAAAATATGCGGATGAGTGAACAATATACTCAGCGAATGAACTAACATATTTCAGCGCCCTCTTAATGGTTTTCAATCATGCCCAGCTAGTTCCCACTTGAAACTATACCTTTAAATTTGCTCAATAGAAAATTAATTGCTCGATTACCAAGCCGTTGAAGGACAAAATCTTTTATTTCATATCGCGTTTGCGGAAAGTACGCATCGCGTAGAAAGAAGGTCGATGTCCTAATGGCTTCTGTGAAAGGGCCTATTTAGGAAGGAAAATTAATTAATTAATGAAATTTTAATTAATTTCGAGCAATTAATTTTCTATTGAGCAAATTTAAAGGTATAGTTTCAAGTGGGAACTAGCTGGGCATGATTGAAAACCATTAAGAGGGCGCTTTACGAAATATAAGGCACGCGGAATATTTTAAGGCACACACCCCTCACCCCCCCCCCCCCCCCCCCCAAAATAAAAAGAAGGAAAAAAAGGGAAAAAAAGGTCAGTTTGGGCGCGTGTTTTTGTTTCCGTTTCCTATCAAAATGTATTTCCTCACCAGCGGTTCTGCTCTCCGTGGCCAAAGCGAGCGACTCTCGCCTCGACGCTATCGTAGGAGAGAAGGAAGTGTTGCGCGAGCCGCTGAAATAATACTCTGTGCTGAAAAGTTAATTTCCCAAGCGTAGTTAAGAACATAATTACACCGAACCTCGTTAATTTTCCTAAATGGACACTTTGGCAAAAACCAATATAACATCAACTTGTTTTTTTTTTTTTTTTTTGCGATGCATATTTTTATTAGAAGCGATACGGCCAGCGTTCGTACAAAACGCTATAAATATCGTTACAGTTGTCATGTTGTGAATTCCCTCAAATGTTTAAGAGGTACATAAAAAAGTAACAAGGTGATGGACTCGTGTAGAGAGAGAGCGAGGGGAAAAGGGGGACGGAGGGAGGCGTACCTTCTTCCTCGAAAAGGCGAACTCTCTTCCTGGCGGCAAGCATATGAAGCGGCAGCAACATACCGACCGCTCTGCCTACGTGCACATCCAGAAGAAACATCTAGAAGATACGCAAATCAAGCGGAGGTCGTCGAGAGAATGAATGCAAACTCTAGTCGCAGTCAACTATCCTTCAGATGTCTCGTACACCAATAATCAACGAGTGACGTTCTTTATCGTGAATCCAACAGCGTCTAGAAACCTACATGGTGCAAAGTCCCTAAAACATGTGGAGTACGAGGGAGGGTGTTCGAATAGAAGTGGCAGGAGCCGCCTTGGAGTTTGCTACAATACACGTACCACCCTTAATGTGTGCCGCGTTTGAGCAGTAAAACATTTGAAATCACCTGGGGTGCCCTGAAAATGAGCGTGTTTTCCTTGCCTGCTGTAAGGAGGGGGCGGCACGGATAAAAGACTCGTATAATGTTCCGCGGCACGTTTATTCCACGTTCTATACTTTACCGGCGTTGTATTCCCTCGTTGTTGGCTCTGAAGTGCGCGGGTCGGATGCGTGCAGGGCGTGTGTCAGGAACATCCATCTGACCGATATGCCCCCAGTGGTCCGTGGATAACAGTGCGTTCCAAATACGAGTGGTATGATAGGAAAGCCCTGTTGCGACGGGTTTCATATATCCTCCAAATGTGTGAACCTTTCGTCATGCAGCAATGCGTCGTATTGCTGCTACTGCGTAATTGCTTAGGTGGTGGTGAATGTTTATGATTCAACCCGCTTCATTCACAGCGCCGCAGTTCCAAATTCAGAATATCATATTTGGCTATTTCAAAAAATTCCAATGCCAAAAAAAAAAACAAAAAAAAAAAAAAACGAAGATTTGTTTTGGAATGCGCATAAAGCGCTTTTCAGAACGACAAGTCGCATTTAGCCAGTCAGTACGGCACCTATGTTTAGGCCGTTGGGTCAGAATTGTTTATTTTGGCTCTGGAGAGCCGCCGCGCGCAAAAACGGGGACTGCCCCCGTGCATGGAGACTTGAGGCTCTGCATCCAATGAATGCAACCAGAGGGTGAACGATGTTTATGGCGTCACTAGCCGCCCAGTTGATATCTCTTCCTGTTTGGCGACGGGCCTTTACCGATCATGCCTCACTCATGCCCCTCTTGGACATTCGTACTCAAAAATTAGCGGCCGTAAAAAAAAAAGAATGGGTTGGGCGTGAGCGAGGAAGACGATGACGTTTGGGAGCGGCCTGGTGCGTGGCGCCGAGGCCCGTACGCGGTGGCCCCCGACCATGACTCGGCGAACAATGCAGCCAGGCTGACCTTGGACCCGTGGTGGCTCTCGATGAACTCGGCACGAACTCTGCGTAAGAACAGCAGCGTCACTGCGACGGCTCTCCGCTCGCGCGAAACGGTCGCAGACGCGTTCTGGTAGCTCGACCTTATCGCTTTCAAGACGTCGCTCGAGATGAGGGGGCTCACCAAGGTGCTGGTGACGTGTGTTTACGTTATCCGCGATAAGCGGCTTCCTCGAACTATGATAGCACACTCAAAGTTGTCCGTGTAGCAGGGGTGCGAGCGTCGTAGCCGATTGAAGGCGCTTATCGCTGCGACAGCCATTCCACCGTAAAGTAGATCGCACAAGGACATGGTCTTCATCGGGACCTCTTTATTTCTGCTCTGCAGGTGAACATGGAGGGTCGCCGTATGAGTTCACAGCTGTGGAAGGATGAGGGCAGCGTGCTGGAGGCCATCGATGAACTCATGGCCCCCAGTTCGGACTTCAGCCTTTCCGACATCCAAGACAAGCAAGAGGCCAAGTCCACGAAGGAGCATCTGTATGACGAAGAAGACTACAAGAGTAAGTGACCACCGCGATGGGAGGCTGCTGCAGCGAGGCGAAACGGGAGAACTTGGCAGATGGGTTTGCCAGTGCTTGTAATTAGGCTAGTCGGTTTTTCATGCTTTGATTAAACACTAGGCTAGTCGGTTTTTCATGCTTTAAGGCACGTCGTTGTTCTCGTTTATGTGTCGTTATTTGTAATCCTTCGCAGCGCAGTTTAATAATGGCAAATGGCTTGTCTATGAGCAGCGTGCCGTGTGTTGTGCAATCATTCTGGCTGAAAGGATGGGGAGGAGCGAAACATTTAATAGTCGGTGACAGGTCGAGTAAAATGGAAGCTCCTCCCACCTCTTTGCACTTTAGCAGAGTGAACGCTAGAGAGCTGGTCGCCTCCTGTCTAGCGTTCGCTCTGCTAAAGAAGTGGGAGGAGCTTCCATGTCACTTTTTACAAGTCACCGACTATAGAGAAAAATCGACAGCACTGACTTTATTGACGAGCTGTCGATATTGTCAGTTTGTCGTAAAACTCGCATTAAAAATATCCAGACATATTGAATAATATTGAACAGTGCGTATTATGTTTAAAGTAGATTTGGAACTTTTTCGCCTGTCAAAACTTAAAATGTGAATCTGTTTTTTTTTTTTGTTTTTTTTTTTCGAGATTTTTACGGTTAGTTTTTTTGTGTCTGCCCCAACACAATATTTTTCTATTTAAAATTTGATATGAGCTTTTTTTTTTTTTCTTCTGTTCACTAAGGAGAGAAGGGGCGGTAGCACTTATCAGAGCATGGCTTTGTTTGCCTCCCAGTTTCAGATAACGGGCAATTAAAGCATATAAAAGTCCCTAAACAATTTTCTTTTGGATGCAGAAATTGCTCTTTGAAACGGGTACAGCCATACTGGCGCACCATGGGCTTTGCTTTTCAAGATTGGTGAACTGAGTCTTGAGAAACTCTTGGCATGATACCGTTGTTAGTAGGTCCAGGCCCTTAGAGCTGAGCGAACGGACGTGTTAAGATTTATGTGACCACGAAGCAAAGAACTTACAGAATATGGCGCAGACAATCTTTGTCGTCTACCGCATCTGTTTGTCGTCTACCGAAACATGCTCTGACCAAGGGCTTCTCGTTGCAGTGCACAGGGGAGCTGGCTTTCCTCACCACCACCAGCCACTGAAAAAGCTCCACTATCATCGCCGGAAAAGTTCAGTGCCTAGCACGTCTTCAAACCAAGATTCTCCGGAACTCGCAGCAGTTGCGGAGACACAAGAGCCCTCGAGTCCACAGGAGAGCAAAGTATGGGTCTTCTGCCTGAGCTCCTTTCATTATAGTCTTAGCTTTTTTGTTTCCATGGTTATGTTCTTGTCGCTCATTTCTCTCACACTTTACTATCCATACATCACAAGCTAAAACACTGTGAAAACGAGAGACCGCGAGGAGCACGTTCTCAGTGTTTCACAATGTTGGAAGTTGTGGTGAATTCCGCTCGCAGATCTCGAGCGCTCCAAAAGCGCTCCACTGGGAGCGCGCAGATCTGGCTCGAGCTGGTCATCTTCCGCTCGTAGATCTCTGGCAACGCCCGCTCCACGGAGCACCTTAAACCCCGCCGAACTTGCTTTGCGAGATTTCACAGATCTTTCCGGAAGGTGACAGAGCGGCCCACGTGATTTCCTTCTAAATCGGCAATGCGCATGCTCAGCGAGGTTGGAGAGGTCGCCGGGCCGGTCGGGCCACGGTCAGCTGGGTCAGGTCGTCGAGTTGGATCTGTTCGGGTGCGTCGGTTCTTTACGCGGGATTGTGACTGCTCGAACGCTTCTACCTCGCGTAGATCAGGGATACAAAGCCGGGACTGTGGAGCGTGGTAAATCGTAAGCGCTGACATCTGTGATTCCGAGAGGAAGAACGAGAAAAAGAACGACAGAAAAGCCGGAGGCAGACGCAAGGTTAGGCCTGTTCATTCTGCAGCCAATGACTAACTTTTTTTACACGGCATTCCGCCGGCGTTTTCCCGTGTGATAAAGCAAGAAGAGTCTTGCGCGTTTGTTCAACTTTTGTTGTGGAAACGCGCAAGGCACGTGCCACGAGCGGGTGCTCCGCCGCCATTCGCTTCCAAAAGCCGCACATTTCAGTGCTGCGCCGCCATTTTCTTCCAAAGGCAGTTAGTTCGAAACACGGGCCTTGTGCACTGACGCATTTGACGCTACTTGCAAGATAAACGCAAGCGCATCGAAGGGCTTTAGTTTAACCCACTGCACAGTGGCAGAACAATTGACACCGTGGAAGGTGCAAGTCGTCTACCTCAGAAGTTAGGTAACAATGATAATAACCGCAAAGGCTGCAAGTGCGAGCGGGTAGTTTTGAGTTTTGCCCCCGCCGCACGAATGCTCGTGAAGCCGAGGCGCAATCAAACGCAAGGAGCTCACGCTTATGTCTGCCATTGTGCACCATGTGTAGGGATTCCACAGCTTCCAACAGAGCTTCAGTTAACGAGAAAAGAGTCAAAGTACAGGCTAGCTGGTGGAAGTCAACCATTTCGTCGTTTACCCTGAGACTGGGGTTTTTTTTTCGAAGAGCAGAAGTGTCAGAAAAAACGTTCGTCGTCAACAACTAATCACATACGACTTGTCCTTTGCACCGTGACTTCAGTTGTTTCGAAGTTTTTATTTTTAGTGCTTTCTAACGCTCTTTTATCGTGCATTGCATGATCGTAGAGTGCCTCAATGTTTCTGGGCTGGCGGCAGCAAGGCGCAGCCAGTCAGCAACATTGAGGCACTCTACATCATCGGACGCTGAAGCGCGATCTGGCCAAGAGAAGAAAGCGTCTGAAGCAGTTTAGTTTGCCCATGCACGTTCTTGTGGGACTGGGCACTGCTATACTGGCTTGTATGTTTGCAATGGCCACTGGCCAGCAACTTCGAGACACTTTAGGCAATAGGGAGTTTTCGCAGATCGTTTTCGCCGTCCCGCAACTCTCTCCGCAACCCGCTACGATACCCGGAACTCTACAGTATGAGCCATCGGCGACGGCTTCTTCGTTGCGGACGGCTTAGTGGAGGGGAAAACACGGTCTACGGAAACTCCCTAATAACGCCTATTGGCGACGTGAGCGATCGAAAGTGTCGCTGTGGTCGGCCCGCCACAATTGGCCAAATGCTGACTATGACGTCAGCAAAGGATGTCGCATTGACGGAAATAAGAGGAATGTAAGAACTTCTATTTTGACGGTGTTGGCAGTGTTGCTTTGAGAGCGCTATGATTTCAGGCTTTCACCATGCCCATTACAAACGCCATCGGACTTGTTGTTCACAAGGTAATGACGTCACGAAAGGTAACCAAACGAGGGCGCCACCGAAGCATCTCTCAGCTAATAGGCTCCTTGCACTGACGTCACATCGCATACTTTTGAACACCATGTAAAAGAAGGAGAGGGAAGCTGCTTTTGTAAGAATTTTGAGTGACAGGTTAATCTTCTATAATCTTCTGGGAGGAGAATAGCGACGCCTGCGCAAATTCGGGAGGCACAAAGAAGGACGTCATTTCCGATGCCCTCCAGAGAAAAGGGGAAGGAGCTCCCCGTGGCTTGCACATGACGTCATTTCCGATGCCCTCCAGAAAAAAGGGGAAGAAGGAGCTCCCCTCTTATCAGGATCCTCCTTTGTGCCTCCAGGATTTGCACAGGCGTCGCTATTCTCCTCCCAAAAGATTATAGAAGATTAACCTGTCACTCAAAATTCTTACAAAAGCAACTTCCCTCTCCTCCTTTTACTTGGTGTTCAAGAAGGTAGGAAAGCTCCTCCCATAAGCGTGATGCGCTCGTTTCAAATCCATCCGCTGTCGAAAGAATAGTCCCCTGGAAACGCCCCTTGTCCCGCTTCAATGAATAGATAATGGTTACAGAGTGATGCCAACTTGTCTCCGACCCCCACTTTTAAAGACAGCGACCTTTGTATTAATCTGAGGGGGAACCGAGACCCTGAAAGTGGCCTTTGTATCTATCGGAGAGGTAACCTAACCCCCCAAAGTCGTCTTTGTTTCCGTCGGAGGGGGAAAACTCTGATATCCCTCTCGTGGCTTCCACAACGCAAACTCAAAGTCGAAAGATAAAGCAAATATTTACATGAAGGCAAAACCCTCTCCCGCGTTGGCCACGACGTCACGGAAACGATGGGACGCAATTGGATGCGGAGGCGGCGGAGGGATACATGAATCCCTTTGAGGGGCATTTGCTGCTACCTTCTTGCGCGCCTTTCCTCCTCTGACGTTATCAGTATTATAATGGCGGCAGAGAGCCCAGAGTGGTGGAACCATCCGTGTCGCCGCGAGGTGCTGAGCGGCGTCCTTGCATGCCAGGAGTGGTTGCTTGCGGCACGACGCGCACCGCAGCCCGCAAGAGAGTTGAGCTTCAACGCGTTTGCTGCCTGAGGCGGGGATTACTAACGATGCTGTATTGCGCAGGCCTTCGAGGAGTATTGCTCTAGGGCACTTGTGCGTTCATAAAGAGAGCGTTTATCGGCGATACCATTTCGCAAGCTTGCGAAATGGTATCGCCGATTAACGCAAGGCACTAGTGCCTTGCTTTGCAATGTGCGCTCCAACTGCACGAGTCAGTGACTCCGCGAGTCTCTCTCGCTCTCTCTCTTCTTCCCTCTAATTTTCAGCGGGAGTTTCGGTTTAGAAACTCGAATAAACCAGTCGGCAGCTCACAGCGCTATGCATATAGAGCACTGTTTAAAATGACCCGTGTCCCGCGTGCACGCACCATTTCACGTAGCGATTGAGTAGGCGCATTCCGCGAGCGCTTTCGCGTGATCGTGTCTTTCTGCGCAGACCGCCTGGCACCTGCGGATGTTCATAAGCGCAACAATGCACCTACGCGTGTACACGCGCGCGCATGCATACCTTATCATGCGCGATGGTGCGTCGGTCAATTTGAAGGTGTGTGCGTGCGCGCTTCGGTACTACTAGTTCACTGTAGTACTACAGTCGGGCCGGTTCCACCATCTTTGCGCTCTCTGTTAGCGCCGAGATGTTTTCGGCGGCGCCCCCTTATGGTTCCGTCGATGGTAGGCATGTACAACCCCCCTTGTTTTTCTGAAGGCACCCCCTTAATTCTCAACAACTGTGGTATTCACTGAGCCTGCAGGTTCGATTTTGCCAGGGAGCGGCACCGTCGATCCGCCATTTTCGAGGTCGCGGTTTGAATGGCTTGGGTACGCGGTCGTCTTTTGCTAGTGTGTGCTAATTTCATATCGTTGAAGAAGCTTCGTTGAACAGAAGAGAGGAGAAACATTTATCTCGGGGGCGGGCCGTTTTCCTTGTTGCCGCCGAGTACCACGTGTAAAGGCTAAACCGCATGTAAGCAATGGACCTCTTGGCGAATATGTGCTACCACCTAGAAACGCGACTGGGTTCGAGGCTAGGTGGCTAGAAAACAACGCGCGCGCAAGGCCTCTCCCACCCGTTCCACACCCAAAACGTCAGCTGCATCCTGTTTACCCATTGAGGCGCTTTGACCTAGATACGGCTCCACCAAACTCGCCTTTGGCTACGTTTCCATGGATGCGACCATGGCGCATCGAATCGAGATGTGACCAGTCACGCGCCCGCGATCCTCCTTTCCCTTCCTCGTCTACCCAATCATAGGCGGTTAATCTCGATTCGATTCGCTACGATCGCATCCATGTAAACTCAGCCTTTGTCCCCATCGTGCGTAATCTTCCGCCCCGAAGTCTACACAACGAAACCATCTTCCCTCTCTGCTCGGCCAGAAGGAAGAAAGAGAGGGTACTGGAACCATTTACTCTCGAACCGATGTTTCTACAAAAGGTCCATTCAGCGAGCGACGGGACGCGACGGCGACGAGACAAGCGACGACGACCCGCCTCGCTGTCGCTCGGTCACTCGCCTGACGAGGCAAACCGCATGAAAGCGACGGGAGCAAGCGACCAAGGCTATCCTATAAGCTACGTTTTCTAGAAATCCAAAAACCGAGCGATGCGACGAACGACCGTGAGAAATCTCCGTCGCTCGTCGCCGACTCCCGTCGCTGTCGCCGGCACTCGCTAACACGCGGTTCACCCTTCAGTGTCGCTCGTCGCGTAGCTCGGGTTTCGGGATTTCTAGAAAACCTAGCGTTCATCGCCTTCGTCGTTTTCATGCTATTTGCCTCGTCGCGCGAGTGACCAAGCGGCAGCGAAGCGGGTCGCCGTCGCTTGTCTCGCCGTTCGCTAAATCGCGTACATGCGGTTTTTTAAATCGCTTGGAATAATGAAAAATGCGCTGCATTTTTCATAAGC